TAATATAAAAATCAAGGGAAAAATTATTACAAAATCGTTCAATAAACGCGACATATTACCATTCTAAAAAAACGATTTGGCAGGGAAAGTTTTACAAGCACGTCAGGGTGACAATGTGAGAATATATTACTTACAATATGACACAGCTGACACACACAGTCTTCAAACAAAGTCATTCGGCACTTTAAAAATGAGAAGGAAACTGGGGCGAGTTTTTTCGCAAAGATTTCTGGGAATTTTACTAGAGACAGGAAAAAAACATATGCCGGCACGTCTCCAGTAACGATCCCAGAAGCAACTACGGGACACAATTCAGCACCAGTCCTCCTCTCTTTTCTAAAGTGGCGAATTGTGAAGTACGTGGGCCCGGTCATTGGCGTTTAGTAACAAATCAACCTTAAGACTTACAATCTTTGCAAGTTGGGGAACTTTTCAAATGGTTTATGAACACTTTCTTGACTCCTGAATAGAAAAACAATAAGCAGTTAGTGTTTTAGCGATAGGCCCTGGTCATTTGGCATTGCTAGAATAAGTTTACTGATCCAATGATATTTGCTTTGTCTTTCAGAGATGAAAGTCCAGGTAACCAAGACTTTGATATTCCGTTGTCTTTACCTCTCTTCATTTATTTGCATTGAACAGATACTACATGGCCGTGCGGAGATACGACATTTTTCTTCGAGTGTTGAAAAATATTTCACTCTATGCAATGACTTTAAAAATGCTTTGTGCTTATCGTCTGTGCGATATCTACTTGTGTAGTTGATGGAAACAGCTCCTTTTTGGGATGATGATGATGATGATTAAAACGTGGATATGGCTCCTCAAGTTACAAGGCGAGTTGCACTACTCCATCAGTACTGATTCAGGGTGACACCTACCGCAAAACAAACGAACCAGGCTAAATCTCCCAAAATAGCTTAAAGTGAATGTGATGATCAAAACGTATTCTCACTGTTCATTTCCCAATTTCCATATTTTTCGACAAGAAATTGAGTCCCAGTAGCCTGCGTGGCAGGCGTTTGAAAGGAGAGGAAAAGGAGATTCCGGGAGCGAGAGAAGCGCGGAGGCGCGCGAGGGGTCGTGCCCAAAATTCCCGTTCCCTTCCCTTTCGAAAGCCTGCCACGCAGACTAGAGTTCCAGTAACCTCTGTTACAACAACGAAAAACTTACGCATGCAGATCTTCAAGTGATGGTGGAAAGTCTGTCTTGGAAAAGCTCGTTAATGAGTTGATCTCATTATTTTCCAAATGCCTAAAACAAAAAGCAAAAAAACAGTAACAACAACGATAATAATAATTTAAAAATATTGTTAATTTCATTCAAAATCTAGCTACTTCAAGATTGCTATAATTTACACGTGTAAGGCCCAGATCAAAACGTGGACCCAATTGATATAAGTTCGACGGTTGATTCAGAGGTCGAACTTAATTAGTTAGACTCAATTAATTTTTACGATGTACAATGGTCCGCAATACTTACTGGTGAAAATAAATAGCAATTTATGCATTAGGTTAGGCACGTGAGAAGTTCGACGTTTGAAAGAGTCTTTAAACGAAGTCACTCCACAGTCGAAATCCCCATGTGGGCCAATCGAACTTAATTCATGGGTCGACCCAAAACTAGAAATGTCGGACTTAACTGATTCAAACGAACACCTTTTCGTGTAGTTAATTGAAGGGATTAGGTTTCGTACATAAAAAGTTCGACTTCTGCACTGCGCCTAAGTGACTGGCATTTAATTGAAGCAGGAGGGGATTTGGATTACTTACGAAGCCTATGTTAAGCAAATTCTTTCTGAAATCGCCACCCTTTGTCAAGCTGAACGCTGTGCAAGTCTTAAACTTATCTTTAAAGTGACAGGTTCACGGTTCAGCGCATGCTCATTTATCAAAATGCTGTTTTTCTGCCGGTACATGCTGTGTCGTCTATGCAAGCAACATGATCATGTCATAATGTTGTCAAAGAACCAATCTGCACCCTCCCCTGGCAGTCACTTGCACTTGATCAACTTAAATATTTGCAAATAGCTGTAAATTAATCAACCTTGGAACAAAACCTTTGGGTCAACAATAAATTCAACGTTGGTAGTGTTGGCATAATCCACTGTTCCTTCTGCGATTTTAGTACTCCTCCATCCTACTTCAGGTTACTCTGAAATACACCTCTACTTTGAAATACACTCGGAGATCGCTGAGATACATATGAGTGGGATCATTAACTGATAGAATTAACAATGAATTGAAAAAAGTAATTAAATTAATGAGCAGGCGCTTAGCCGCGAACCTGTCCCTTTGACTTGGTGATAGGCAAAGGGGGATATGGAGGGTCAGTTCCAGTAATGAGAAGGCGGGAAATGGAAACCATAGTAACCAGTGGGGCCCGTTTCCCGAAAGTCTCCGTAACTTTTAGGGCCCGAAATCAAAGCTTCAATTAAAAATCTAAGGATAACAGCGCAAGTCCTAGCTTGCACACTAGTCCATTTTGTTTTATTAACTGATATTTTTAACATGCTATCTGCAAAACTGTCGAAACCTCGATCTTCAAAGTAAACAGCAACAACTTTCAGGGCCCGTAAATTATTGGGACTTTCGAGAAAGGGGCCCCGGAGCCGAAAAGGGAGCTACCCATGCAAATCTCACCATGGGATGTCACCTTTACATAAACTGAGGATACTCCTTGGGAGGCAATGACTTATTAAAGAGACACAAATCATGAAATGGCGGGATGAAGCAAAAATCCGCCACAGGCAAGGTCAAAACCATCAATCTAGAGGGTTCGTACAGATTTTTGGATCCAAACTTCTAGACTTTTTCCAGACTTTTCCCAAAACAATGGTTTATTCTTACAGACTCAAGGTTATCAAATAAGTGATCAATAGAAACCTTAAAAAACGCAGGAACCAAGCTTTCTGCAAACGTACAGTAACCACAGTGCAATGCGGACATAAGAGAGTTATGAAACTTCTCCTTCAGTGATTAAATGTCGTGACTACGGGCGAGATTGAATGGGATTTGACTGCGGGGAAAAAATTCTTATATTAAGCGCTTTTTCCAGGTCTAAAATTTCAAGAATTTCAAGAATTCATTTTTTTCAAGAATTCAAGAGTCTATAAGAACCCTGAATCTACACACAAAGAGCTGTAGCCACAGAGAGAAAAAAGCAAATGATTTACATGAACTAAGTTTCCGACTTAAATCTCTGATCAGCCTTGTCCACTAGTAAAATAGCGCTGTTTGAGCAAGTTGATTTTGATAGTAGAAGTACTCACAGTCAGTATCATCTCACCATGATTTAAGTTCTAATTTGCAGATGAATGTCTGGGTTAGGGTACTTACAGGTAAACCAGTGAAGAAAATGTCTCTTGAGAAAGGGCGGGGTGAGGAAAATGCTGCAACTGATTATCATTCAACCATCTGGAAAAAAATAAACAAACTAATGTAAGCAAATCCTGTTGGAAAATGAAACTGTTAAAAAGCAGCAACAAGCTTGGCAGTACCGCAAAACAAAGATGAAAGGTCATGTTAATGAGAGTCTGACGTTTTCTACCATACTTCATTCAAGATTCTTTTAATCGTCATCTTCTTTAGCATACACGTGCACTCCCAAGCCATGGGTGCAGCTTTTAAACCTCAAACTGCTACATGTATATCAAGTTTTGCTTCAAATCCTTGTCCATAACTTTAAATACTGTAAATCCTGTAATAATCAGCCAGATGATTTATCCTTTGATGTCTTCTACGTCACGACTTTTAAAAAGACATATGACCTATGCAAATAACTAACACCAGTGTCAACGCAAGTTGTTTTCAAACTAGACATTTGTAAAACATGGCTGGCATTTTGAGGGGGGTGACTAACATTTATGCAAATTTACGGTTAGGAATGAAAGGGTGACACTTGTTGAGTGAGAAGATTGCATAAGAGTAGGCAGTTCTAATACTCAACTCTATTTTTTTACTTACAAATCTCGTAAAGCTGGCAGATTCTTGAATGCATTGTACATCACAGAAGTTGTCTGATAGGAACTTTGCTGCTGCATTAAAATCCTAAAGAAAAATGAAAAGAAAAAATATTTAATTCAAATCCACCTCTCCCTTCCCAGAGGCTGCCGGCTTTGGTGGATAACACCACCTGAATCTGCATAATTCTTCATACAATACTCAGTATCATGTAAAAATAATTGCTGATTAAACAGTTATGTGCAAAATGTGGTTTCTGTTATACTTACAAGACTTGAAGCTTTGGAAGATTTTCAAATGGACTGCTGAAGGCTTGGGCTGTTATGTTTTGCAGACGGTTTCCTCGTAAGTCACTTTAAAAAGGAACGTGTATAAAGCACAAGTGTTTCATATAATTATCTGTTTCTGCTAAACATTTCAGTTTTTTTTACTCAAGATTTGGTATTGGTAGGGGAGAAAAAAAGTTTTATAGGTGTCGGAACAACAATCCAGTTTAGCCAGTTAATTAAAACACAGTTGTTTGTTTCTAATTATTGCATTTTAATGTATTGTGTTTTGTGCATAAGTTTTCTTGAACGGACACTTCTCTTCTTTTGCTTTCAATACTCATTTGTTCATCATTATTATTCATTATATATCGCACAAAATTAATTACTATACTATAAACTGAGTTATTAAAGTGATTAGCAACGTGGCTACAAGACAAACTTACAGATGAAGCAGCTCTGGTATTTCATAAAACACCTTAGCAGCAATGGTTTCCATATCGTTCACATGTAGCTCTCTATGACAACAAAAAAATTCTTTTACTCTGACTACTTTCAGTCTTATTGTATGATATGGGCCATCCTTAGCTTAGTGATTAAACCTCTTCTGATTTGGATTCCGTCATATTTTAAGAAACAAAGAAGTTTATGAATTAGCCTTTCGTCATTTAAGTATAGGATGCACTCTTCTACTGATGGGTACTAAACAAAATCGCAAAGCATTAACACCGTAATTTAATAAGATAAACATTCTACACAGACAAAACAAGTTTAAGAAGACACTAAATAGATGGTTGATACAAAAAAAAAACCGTTATCAGCGTAGCACAATTTACTAATGAAAGTGAGCCCATTGAGGCTCATGAATACATGTGCAGAGAGCTTAATAATGGTTGAGTGAATTATTAACATTAAACAGATCAGTTAAACTCATACTGTATCAAACTTCTAAAAATATATTGTAAATATACATTACAATTTTTGTTGTTTTTTTTTTCTTAAAAACTAAAAAAAAAAAATATTGCAGCTTCATTGGCTGAAAGCTATTGTCTACAAGAAAATAGAAAATGAAATGGAGACAATGACGTCACACTGGTTTTGTCACCAGCAAGCACGTTTACATTGTAAGTTCTTCTGTGCAATAGGTTCTGGAAACAATGTGACCTGACATTATTTGCACTCGTTAAGGAAAACTGTAACATTCAGTAACTGTACTTACAGAACTTTTAGATGGATTAATCCAGAGAATGCTTCCGTGGATATTGACGTTATTTCGTTATTGCTTACATTTCTGCAACCACAAATTATTGTCATTTATTATATTGACACGAGTGTTTTATTGGAAAATATACCATTCGAAAAATTCATAAACGCTACATCCGGGACCCGAGTGGTTTATTTTCCATAATCTCACACGTGAGTTTATCGATGACATAATTTCGGCAATTTCCCTCTATTATTTTATCGATGTCTTTTTGTCTATATAATAAAAAGAACATTACACCGCGGCTTGAAGATATGAATTTTATTTTCTCGTGGCAAAAACAATATTTTACTCACTTGCTGCGCTCGTTCTTAAAATATTGTTTTGCCACTCGAAAATAAAATTCATATCTTCGCGCCACCGTGTAATATCCTCTATATATCAGTGTCATCAACTTTTTAAGAATAGCCTATCAACTAAATGCATAATTATTTATCTGTAATTGGTTTATAAAAAAAATTTCAGTTGACTAGCAATGAGATAAGGTCTACAGCTGTTTCAAGACAGGTCGTCGGAAAAAATGTGCATGCGACAATGCCGAAAGGTAATGTGGGATATAATCAATTCTCTGTTTCTTAACACTGTAGCTGTCAGACCTACTTTTATTGCTTCTCTTTAGCACTTGCAAACATACTGTCTATGGTCTCTCTCCTGTGCATGATTCAAATTTCTTTCTCAAACTCATTAATAATTCATAAAGAAAATTCAAAGGAAATTAATATTTAATGAGTGTTTGGATATCAGATGAAAAACTGCTCATTTTTGCACCCCTAATTTCTCCTTCAAAAATAATTTTGTTTGAGAAGAAATATCAAACATTCGACACAGTGTTTCATCACCAGATGAAACACCTCGAAGTTCGTCAAAAATACTCCGCTGCGCGTCGTCTTTTCAACTCTCTTCTCGGTGTTTCATCTGGTGATGAAACACTGCATCTCATGTTTGATATATTACTTGAAAAACAGTGAACTCAAACCTACCCACAAAACCTTTCGGGATTGTCGCATGCACTTTACCCGACAACCTTTCTTGAAAAAGCTGTATACAAATACTGAGGTACATCACCAGATGAAACACCTCGAAGTTCGTCAAAAATACTCCGCTGCGCGTCGTATTTTCAACTCTCTTCTCGGTGTTTCATCTGGTGATGAAACACTGCATCTCATGTTTGATATATTACTTGAAAAACAGTGAACTCAAACCTACCCACAAAACCTTTCGGGATTGTCGCATGCACTTTTCCCGACAACCTTTCTTGAAAAAGCTGTATACAAATACTGAGGTTACAGTCTTGAACATCTGATTGGCGGATGTTGAACTTCAAAATAAGTAGTAAAGAGCCATCAGTTGGAATTACCCATAAATTACCTTCAACTGATAACTGACCAGCATGCCACTTATAATTGTGAACATTATATTAATATTTTATACAGGAAGTGTAAACTGTATCATAATTACTGAACGACAGTAACCACAATCCAAGGCTGTGCTCTAAGGGAGCCCAGTGCTCTGAACCTGTAAAATCTAGGGTACCCAGCCTTTGATTTGTATGAAAAAAACATAGATTTTCAAGTTGCCCAAGAGCAAAAGATGGGTGCACATCCCTGATACTCACAAAAGGCTCAAGCTTTGGACTAGGTTATGACTTTACTTACAAATGAACAAGCTGGGAATCATTTCCATAAAAAGGCTGCAGATTAGGAACACTAATACTTGGAATCTGATTCTGATCCAATCCCCTGTCATACCAAACAAAATCACAATTAAAATATTACAACTGGTAAATTTGACAAAGCTAGAATGTAAAACAGTGATTTGCAGCTTCATATAACCACAGGAAACTTAAATGCTGATGCTAAATTTAGAGGGAATTGACTATGCGGAAATTCGTTGTCACAGAGGAACTCAGTGTAGTGACAGACCATATTTTCATGGTCAGACTCTTTCAAGTGGACCAACATATAATTATCAACAGTTACTGTTCTTCAGCATCTAGAATGAATACAAATAATAATAATATGAATAAAAACTACAGTACAGCACGACAGCTACATATATGCTCTATACTACAGAGCAACAATACTTACAAATATATCAGTGACTTGCAGTTGATAAACGACGGAAATGCCTTCAGTTGATTCTTGCTTAGACCTCTGTTACAAATAAAAACAAGTACACATTTACAGTGATGCTACAGACAGTCATTTCTTTGATTTGTTGCTGAGATTTTTGCCGACTGTGAAACTTAGAAACTGCAATCACCAAACTGATATATACATGTATGTTGTGGTTCAATTTTATTCATGCTTTGAATTTTATTTTGCGTTGTTTCAAACTCACTATGATACAGTCATTATCATACCCAAACACAAAGGAAAATAATAATAATTTAAACCAAGGATAAAATTGAACCACAACATACTGTAAAATTCCGAAAATAAGCCCCTCCATGTATAAGCCCCTCCAAATACAAGCCCCCCAAACCGGTAACGCAAAAAACCCTCGGTGAAATCGCTCCTCCAAATATAACCCTCTGGGAGCTTGTACTTGGAAAATTGCCCTCAAATACAAAGTAAAACAAAGCAAAAACGGTAAATTTCGTTCCAACTATAAGGCTAGCCTTATAGCTGGTTCTGATATGTATTTCTGGAATACTATATTGTGGCAAGTAAAAAATCAAACCAGCATAAGAAACTTAACAACAAGCAGCAATAGAAGTTGAAGGTTGTAGTTTGTGGTTTGTTTAAGTGTTTTTACAATGTATCTGAGTTTGACAGCAAAGTGCACATACTTACATGTATTCCAGGTTTGGCAAATCAAGCCAGTTATTAGGGATCCAGTCAATGTTATTTTCAGTCAGAATACTGCAAATCACAACACTTAAAATCAGTCATACATGCATCTACAACAACACAAACAGACTCACCTGTGTGGCACAAAAATTCAAAAAACACTTCAGAATAATAAAAGCTAGCAGTAATCAAACAATAAAGGCAATTATGCAAGAAGTAGAATACTCACATTCTTTTCAGAGCTTTCGGCAGTGTAGTGTAGTTGTGGCTGTACAGTTTGATTTGGTTGGAATATAAGTCACTGAATAATAAGAAAAAAAGCATGTGTAAATAATACTCTGCGATGATAGGCAAATAACATACTCTAACTGACAAACATAAAACAATACACATTTTGTGAAAGGTTTGAACCCAGGAGTCATTTCCAAAGTAGGTTGAGTTTGATCGTCTGGGTGAACGTAGTCCTGAATAGGACTGTTGTTGTTGGCAGTGACTGACGTTTTGACAACCTAGCGGTAGTCATCTTCAGAGTCAAAGTGAGTTGTATCACGTCAGTTGATGGTATTATACTCTGGTTATTGATCTGATTGGTCAATTACGTCGCGATGTTATTGGTCGTCTGTCAGTTAAGCCGTGATGTTATTGGCTCTGAAGACTCGTAATCAGTAATTGGTGCGTCTATTGCCACAGTTAAACAGTCGTCTATTGTTAGTCAAATTGTCAGTTCTCCAGTTGTTCTCTCGTAGTTAGTTTTGCTTAATGTCGTCAATAAGTCGATTGTACGGCGCTGGTAACTGTTGGCTACGATTCAGTGGCGTTTGTTAAAGTTAGTAAACCAGTTTTCTAAAGTAAGACGTTGATAGTAGTCTGTAGAATACGTAATACATGTCGCAGAGTCCCAGTTAATTTAATACACATATTCATGTACTTTGTACTTTGTAGTCACAGATATCAGAGATATGTTATAATTGAGTCATAGCAGATGGCCACAACAAAATGAATAGTTACATCAATATTTTTCTACTTTTTAAAATTTAGACCCAGTTGTTGTATTCACAGTCAATAACATCACAACAATGGTCCAAACATACTCACCATACAGTGAACTTACCAGCAACTACACTATCAGATGAGATTGCANACGTCAGTTGATGGTATTATACTCTGGTTATTGATCTGATTGGTCAATTACGTCGCGATGTTATTGGTCGTCTGTCAGTTAAGCCGTGATGTTATTGGCTCTGAAGACTCGTAATCAGTAATTGGTGCGTCTATTGCCACAGTTAAACAGTCGTCTATTGTTAGTCAAATTGTCAGTTCTCCAGTTGTTCTCTCGTAGTTAGTTTTGCTTAATGTCGTCAATAAGTCGATTGTACGGCGCTGGTAACTGTTGGCTACGATTCAGTGGCGTTTGTTAAAGTTAGTAAACCAGTTTTCTAAAGTAAGACGTTGATAGTAGTCTGTAGAATACGTAATACATGTCGCAGAGTCCCAGTTAATTTAATACACATATTCATGTACTTTGTACTTTGTAGTCACAGATATCAGAGATATGTTATAATTGAGTCATAGCAGATGGCCACAACAAAATGAATAGTTACATCAATATTTTTCTACTTTTTAAAATTTAGACCCAGTTGTTGTATTCACAGTCAATAACATCACAACAATGGTCCAAACATACTCACCATACAGTGAACTTACCAGCAACTACACTATCAGATGAGATTGCACATTTACTTATTAGCATTAACTTTGTGCAAACAACAAAAGAATATCTTGATAAATACAATGGCTTCTGTGTAATTACAGGTATCTACAGAATTGCAACATAAATTTAGCAAGGAATGAGTTTACTAGTTAACTTACAGTTCTTCCAGAGCTGCATTCATGGAAATATCTGGAAAGTCTGTTAACTTATTCTTTGCCAATTTCCTGCAAGAAAATTATAACTCAACATTATTACTACTTCACAATGAGCGATGGTACTCATGTACATTAAAGTGTCTGCAGTACTGAGTAAAGGAGTTCAAAGAAGTGCAAGACATTTTACTGTCAGTGGTTAACTTGCTTGTGTATGTTTTGGTTCAGTGTTATCCTTGGTTGAAATTCTATTTTTTATCGTTTCAAACTCGTTTGAGAGATCTAGAGTCATGCTTAGGGAAACGGGCAAACGGCAGATTCAAATTGAGATTTTCACAAAACAGAATATGTGCAGATAAAAACACTCCAAACCAATTCCTTTGGATAAAACTAATGTGAAACTACGAATTCTGGTGTAGAAGTAATAAACAGTATCACAAAAATAAAGGAAAACTTGGTTACATTTGCTGTTCCCCAAAATCTGACTTTGAATCTCTCTTTCATCATACATTACCATACCCAAGAACAATAGGAAAGTAACATTTAAATCAAGAATATAATATGAAGCATATCGTGTATAACACATCTGTGCAGAAATGCACAGACTAGGAAAATAATCATGCAACCTATTTGATACAACCCTTTCCTTACAATGTTGTTAGACTTGTCAAATTATGGAAAGTTGTTGCATTGATAAACTCCAAGCCAGAGTTAAAAATCTTTCTGCAAAATAAAAAGAAAAAACAGGAAATGAAGACTGAAGGCAAGCCCTCAGTGGGCATGGCACAAGTCTTGCTCCATAGGCTATGAAGTCTAGCTATGAAGCAAAATACATTGTGCAGTGGGTACAAGTCTTTAGATTGCCTGGGGGACTGTCTGAGGATTTCTGAGGTATCCAGTTCTTAAAATGCCCACAGTTTTTTCAACTTTCAGGGTGCAAAGAAAGTCAGTTTTATAACTTGCCATTCGGGCAAGCTGAAGGTAGCATTTAAAATAGCCCAAACATCATTTGAATTAGCCCCAAAAATGCTTTGATGAGCAGAATTGATTTCACAGTTCTTCTGTCACTTGAATTTCTCAAAAAAACATCACTTGCCTGATAGAAAAATCAACCAGCCACAGGCTATTGGACACTACTTTCTTTGCACGCTGACTTTGTACATTCGTAATGGAACCGGCAGAAGGAATTAGCCTCCAGTTTTTAAAAACTGCCATACAGCATCACTTTATGCTAAAGACTATGAGTATCAAATTTACATGTATGTCTCAGCATAATGCCAGATGGTCCAGATACAGTTATTATGATCACAGTTATGCCAGCATAATCTTTCACACTCTGTAACATTGTAACCATGAAGGAATGTACACCGGGGGGGGGGGGGGGGGGGGGGGGTCCCTGGGGGATTTTGGGGGGGGGGGGGCGCCCGTGCTCCCAAACCCCCCCTCTTTTTTACACACAATAACTTTTTTTCAACCCCTTTTTTTTACAGCTCTAAAAAAAACACCACCCCTTACCACACCCTGCTCCTCAAACCATGTTATTCTGTCAAACAAAGATATAAGATATTTAAATTGATGTTGTTTTAACATAATTACTGTAACTTTTTTTTTAACCTAATAAAAACGCGTAGAGAGTGAGGGGGGATGGGGGGGGGGGGGGGGGGGGGGAAGGTGGTACTCCTGGGAATTCTTGGTGGGGTGTGCTACCCAGTTCTCCAAATCCTCACTCTATTTCAGACCAAAAATGTCATTTTCACACCCATTTTTAGAACTGGCCACTAAAATCCATACCCGTTTCCAGACCTGGCCTCTAACAAAGTATGTCATCATAATTTGGCTTTCTTTATGGCCCAAGCAAGAAGCATGCAGGCCATAAAGCAGTATAGACTGAAAAACCAAGACTAATAATCTTGTCTTTTGTATAAAATGTATTTTGTAGCTTCACTATGTTTATATCACACGAATGCATATATACACTGTACTTACATTTCCTCAAGCGTGTCCCTCAAATCCTCAGGATTAAGAGATTGTATCACCCTGTTTCTTATGGTTCTGAAAAGGAAAGAAAGCTATTAGCACAAACATTAACAGGGTACTTAACAATAAAATACAAACACTGAGAAGGAGTACATATTTAAATTAGGATTAAGGGAGGGTATGATTACATTAAATCTGTATTAAGATTTCAAACACTGTACATGTACATGTACATAAATTGTTCTCAGCTTGCAACTGTGTGACAAGGTGGCCATGTTAGTGGATTAAAGACAATACGAAATTTTAGGTAGAATTTTCAAGAAAAAATAGTTTAGTTCCCAAAGGACTGACAGAAATGCCTTTGTTTTCGTCCAACAGCATGACCCCTGTAACATTAGCTGCAAACCAGTAATACCCTAATAATGAGAAAATTTCTCTTTATTGCCTAACAAACTAAAACTAATAATAGCTGAAACATTTAGTGTCTGAACTGAGGTGACTGACCAAAATGCCAGCCAAAAGTCAGTGATCTGCCGGTGAAGTATCAACTGACTATTGACCCACAGGACATAGGGGCCAACTGTCACAGCCACATATCGACTGACACTCCACCAATATATTGACCCATTCTCGACCGACACTCGACTGAGACTCAGCCAATATATCAACTGATACAACTGATATGTTGACTGATACATTGGTTGACACACCCTATAAGGCAAAAGATCCAAATTTCGGGGGGGGGGGTAGTTAAAATGACTCTGGGGCTAGTATATGCTAGCTAGAGTTTGCTAAATTATGGCAAGCTGTAAAACTGGCTTTCTTTGCACCCTAAGATTACTTTTTACTTCAAAGTACCCCATTTAAAAAAAGTGTCTCAGCAATTTTTGACCCTGATTTGTAACTAAGAGACAAGAAGCAGAAAGAGGAATGGTTCAAAAGTATGACTGATATGGAATTTGAGATTCAGCTACAGTGAATGGAGAGTAATGTGGAACAACAAAGAAAGAGGCAGGCAAAATAAAGTGAGGAAAAGATACACATACTGTCCTTTTTAAACTTTAAAATGACGAAAGTCAATATTGATCATGCCACCATGAGCTTGTTTTACGATTTGTAACGAAAGTAAATAAATCAATAGAAGAAATTGATTTATGGCAGTGTTGCAAATCACATTCACTGTATTCTACAATATAAACAAACAACCTATAACATATAAGGAAAAGAGAAGTGCAAATCACATATTAATGGCAAATCACTTACAGTGTTCGTGGAGATCCAGTACAAGTGACTTTAGCGTCGCTGTTAGAGCACGAGCAACCATCACATTGGTTTCCTTGCGATTCAGAATTTTGACGATTGTATTCAAATCTTCCATCGATTCCATTATTCCAGAATCCATCCCAATCGGATGGATAGTTTAAAGAGTAACGAGTGTTCCAGTACTGATGTCCTAAGAAATTATTGCCACCATGATTGGGTACGTTGTGAACGTCTCTTACTAGTAACAATAAAAGAAAATAACAAACAACCACCGAGCGAAAACACAAGATGTTAAAATAATTCCAAGACATCTTCCAAAAGAGCAAATGGCAGTCTTCCGGATTAAATGGAATATGTAATATCTCAGCCAACGTAATTCAACGCTAGGATTCTTTCGTTGCTAAACAAAACTGTTCCGTTTCCACGTTCGGTGACTTATTCCCTCACAAATCACAAATCCATTTCGTTTCCCGCCAAGAAAATCATTCCACTGCCAACTGCAAAAGTGACTTAAGTTGATATCCCGCCAGCAAATACCACTAAAGTAGCTTGTTTGGAAAATATATTGTCCTGACTTTAGCGTTTTCAGATTCATAAATATTCACTTGAGATGCAAATTTTCAGCTGGAATTATAATTCGCAAAAACATTCACCCCTAGAGATGGTTCGCTGGACATTTCATGTAGTTTTACATACTAGATCACAAAACCCGCAAGGGCTTGCGGTATGCATTCTAATTATGGAGGATCAATTTGAAGCCGTTTTGTCAGCATTATTCACTTTGTAAATTATTCATTTTTGACCCAAATCGTGTTAAATTTGGAGGTATTTATCCAAATTGTGTGACAAAGTTACTTGCCTAATATTTCCTGCTCATTCTTTTCTGATGGGGATAAAATTTAACCGGTAAATCAGTTCAAGCAGGTTCAAGTGCATGCATCATAACAAGGCTTTGGACAAGTCAATGAACATTTAATTATAGCCGCCACTGCAAGCATCATATATTTTGCAAATTTCGAGGAGATCATCAAGAAAATGCATAAAAGCGAGAGGCGTACTAACTTCATGGGAGTCCACGTATGAACAAGATACGTTGGCCGGAAAGGAGGCTTGAAAACTATTAACCCGTTTTACCTCGTTCAGTAATTTTTGTAACTTATATTGCTGAATAGTGGATAAGTGTTCGAAATGGAACAAACTGAAAATGTAGTGTCAAGTCCTGATGAATTTTTAAATAATATTTCTGCTAGCACAATAAGATCAGTAACACTCGACGAAACGGAGACACAAGGTGGTGAAGGAGAGATCTGTGACAGCTCCAGCAGAACATTGGAGAATCAGGCCATCGACGTGAAAGAAAGCGACGAAAATACAACTGCAGGGTTAAATAAGCAAAATGATCCGCCTGTAGATGACGCTAACGGTGATTCAGAGGAGCGGGATGAAAAAGACCAGTCTGTGGAGAAGCCTGGTCAGGTTGAGGACCAAAATGAAAGAACTGCAAAAACAGATGATGATTCTGGGACAGAAGAAGACACAACTCAAGAAAATAACGAGGTACCGTCAGCTAGCGAAGAATTCGATATTGATTCCCTTCCAAAAGGCAATAGGTTATCTCAAAGTGAAGATGGTACAATGAATGAACAAGAACCCAATTCACAACCAACTGAAATTGTAGTGGAGGATGTAGCTGGAGTCAAGGGAAATGCTGAATCAGTAACTGAATCCTCACAACAGGTTCTTGAGTCACTTTATCACATCAAGTGGATTAAATGGAAAGGAATAAACACTCCGATTATAACACAGAATGAAAATGGTCCGTGTCCTCTGCTGGCTATTGTGAATGTTCTGTTGTTGCAGAGACGAATCAGGATACCCTCACCACAAGAGATTGTAACATCAGGACAGCTTATGGAGTACATAGGAGACTGCATCTTAGAAGAATCACCCAAAGTATGTATAACCACTTCATTTCCAAAATATTATGAATCATTTTGTTTGCTGATGGGTTGTACTGTTATTATGAGAAAACATGTATGATAATAAGTTGATTATACAGCCGATCCGTTGATGCCAACTTCTCCCGGGCTCCTGTACAGATCACCAAATCTTCTAGATAAGATTGAATTTTGAGCTTTTCTGTGCTTTTGTTAAGGTCGGGACACACTAGACAACATGTCGCAGCGACAAATCGCTTCATTTGTACAGTTCGGGCAATAAGTTGCATGACACGTCGCAGCAACAAATTGCTTGGTGTGAACGAGGGAATTGTTAAGGAAATCTTTGTTTCTGCAACAAAATTTTGTCACCGCAACAAGTCGCACAAATCTGTCTGATTTGATTTTGTGCGACTTGTTGCAGCGTCAAAATTCTGTTGCTGAGGCAAAGATTTTCACAAAAATTCTTTAGTACACATGACGTGATTTGTCACTGTGACATGTTGCCATGACATGTTGTTGCAAATGGTTGCCTACTGTGACTGACCTTGATGAATTTATCCCAGTTTCTTCCAAAAATTCAAAAATGTTTTTGATCATAGTGTTGTTTTCATGGCATTTTTGCACACAATGTCGTTCATCTCTGACAAGACTATTTTATTGTTGTCGTAAAAGTGAGTTTTGGCACTCTTTACGTCATTTAAGACTTGAATGTCTTAATTTATGTTACAATTTGGGGACTGGGTCATTTGCCCTTATGGGGAGGGGGGACGGCGTTGATGTTGGCTGGAAGGAGGGTACTGCAAAAGGAACAGTCTTCATTTTCTCTATCTCTAGAGGTTGGCATCTTATCACTCCAAAACACATGCAGTGTACTTGAAACACACAAATTTGAATTTCAGTCGCAAATCTAATTTTCAGAATTTTCAGTGTTACATTGATGTCTCAGCTGGCAATGTGCTTTGTAATTGAATGTATTAAACCCATTTTTGTTAAAAAAAGACTTACTTGATATTCTGACTGTTTTCATTGTTAGCTGGGTGAAATCTCAAAAATCAAAGTTATTTTCTCTTTGTTTACCTTAGCAATTGTCAGAGGGGGCACAACTAAATTACGAGCAAAACATGCATGATGCCATTGCAATAATGAACAAGTTACAAACAGGATTAGATGTTAATGTAAAATTTACTGGGTAGGTAAACTTTTTAATGTTGTACAGTGTGTATACAGTGTATCAGTAAAAACAAATAGTGTTTATGAATAACATGGTCTGGAACCACCAACCTTTTTTGTAAGGTGATCATTACCTTTTACTGAAGGTGAAAATAGGGACCTAAATGATCCAAGGATAGTGACAGCAGCAAAAATGTCACCTTAAAGGAGAATTTGTGGTGTTTCAATCCTTATCACAATTATTCTAGATAACTCACTTGCTTTGTCAAATGTAGGCGAACTCTCCTGGAGTTGGATTCCTAGTAGAATCATACCCAACGTCAGAAAAGGGAAGAAAATTTTGTCATGTTGAGTCATGGCTTGTTTTCATGAGTCCTCCATAAAATGTGACATTAGGCCTTTCGCATGCCATAGTCATGCAGGATGGGCACTTTCTGGCCAAAATAAAGTGATGGCCTTGATAACTTAGCACGGTAGGCTTCAGTTTTGACCTCAATACCCTGCCGAAGGGTCACATATTTACATGTATATAATAGAGTTTTCACGTTTTTCCTTAATGATGTCGTTGTTTGTAGGGTGTCAGACTTTGAGTTCACCCCAGAATGTATAGTGTTTGATCTTCTTTCCATTGGTTTGTACCACGGCTGGCTTGTTGATCCACAGAACACTGAAATAGCATCTGCTATTGGTAGTCTGAGTTATAATCAGCTGGTGGAGAAGATAATCGCAAGCAAACAAGATGGAGCAGAAACCCAGTTAGTGTCTGAAGGTAAAAAATAATAATAACAATAACAAAAAATGAGGTCATCACACTAAACGTTTATAGTACATGATCCCTTGATCAATACTTATTACACCTAGGGCAGTGCTTGTTTGATGCTTCTAACAAGATCACAGGTGGCTGTTTCCATGAGTGGGCAATATCAAGCAGAATCTGTGTTTTGATTGCTATCTTAGGAGGTGATAATATTAGCCTGCGAAAACATCATTTCTCCTCGCTGTTCACTGCCAGGGATGTTTCGCGCAGAGGAACGTCTGCTACTCAGCGGCAGAAATTCCATACTGATGATGTAAAATCTGTCCAGAATCTAGTCAGAAGGGCTGATTGGTCGACGGAGTAGTTACATTGTTTTAGCTATTGTTTACGAATGATGGTCTTAATAGACAAAAGACAAAAGGCCACAATGGTCAAATGTAAATGTGAAGAATCTCTAACAAAAAAGTCAATATTTGTGGAATATAGTCTTCTCTAGAAGAAGTATTTGAGTTTTGCTGGAGCTCCTTGGCAGGTGAACACAGCACTTTACCAAAGTCGACCAGAAGACTTATAAAATTGGATAAATTCATATTTGGAACCCCATGACTACCATATTTATTATGTAAACATTGACTTGCGTCATCAGTATGGAATTTCTGCCACTGAGTCGCAGATGTTCCTCCACTCAAAACGTCCCCAGCTACGAAGAGCGAGGAGAAACGGGTGTTTTTGCAGGCTATAATAATATGGGCCTATCTTTCTTGCTCATTTTTCCTTATTGTTCCCATGACAACAAAAAGTGATCTTGGTCATTTTCTCCATTGACCAAGATTGTTTGGTCAACATAGCTCAACATTAGCTTCCCTCATTTTGTTTGCATTTTTATCAACCTTTTCTTCATTTCACTCCATAAATTGCAAAAAAGGACAATACTTTCCAGACATCATGACCTCATGCTTGGCCAAGTCATATACTTGAGACCAGCAACAGAGACAGGGGCAGGTCTGTTACATTCTCTGAGGTGTGTATTTACAAGATGAAATTACTGGTAGCTTTTAGCTCAGAGATTTAATGACCACACTCTATTAATTTGCAGGTTTGATCAGTGAAGCTTTCCTTGAGCAAACAGCCAGTCAGCTGACATACCATGGGCTGTGTGAGTTGAACTCGCAGTTACAAGATGATCATCTTTGTGTCTTCTTTAGGAATAACCACTTCAGTACCTTTCATAAGCACAAGGTTAGACAAAAATAAATACCTTTTTAAATTGATCTGTTTAATGTTCTTTTATATTTTTGCTGGTGAGACCTGTTCATATTTTTATGATATCAAGTTGAATGAAAAGCGCTCACTTTGATCAAATGTTCCATGTAGCTTTAAGTAACTTATGGACTAAGAGAACATGAGGAAGGTCAAATTCAGTGTTTGGTTAAGCTGTGCATTTTACTGAATTTTCAAAAACCTATAATTTTCTTGTGAACAACTTTTAATGTTACAACATTTTTTTTTGGTAAATTAGCCAAATACTCATGCGTAAAATTAAGAAAAGAATAATTGATGGTCTAACACTGGTAATTTTTGTAATTTCTGTAATTTTGGAGAAACCTTTGGTCCTTTGGTGCAACTAAAGTAATGTAATTTAATGAACTAGTCCTCTTTGACAGTACTAATCAGTAATTCTTTAGTATTATAATGTTTAAAATGAAATCTGGAATTTATATTGATCCTTATAGAATTTTGATTTATGACAATCATTCATGAGAGACCTCAAACAAAATATTAAAGGCTTCTGTTTTCGTCTTGCTCATATTCCTAGTCCTCTATTTTTTTTTTCTCTCAGTTGCACCCTGTGTAAAGAAAGGAATTCAACCATATGGCATTAATTCTCACTTTGGTTTTAGGACGAACTTTTCTTGCTGGTCACAGATCAGGGATTCCTCACAGAAGACCGAGTCATTTGGGAATCATTAAGTAGTGTTGATGGTGACAGCTTTTTTGTGGATGCCGAGTTTAGAACCCTTCCTGCTGTACACAGCCCACCTCAACCTGCTAAAGCACCTCTTGCTCAGCAACTATCACAAGAGGATCAAGAGTAGGCTAATTTACAAAATGTTATCAATTTAAATTATAAATAGAAAGCTAAAATAGCACATTGCAGTGGCCATTGCAGTTAACTTGTCAATGAGAAAATGTTAATATAATATGTCATTGCATGATGGCATGAACTTAATCCATGTATTAGTATGAGAAAAAAACCTTAAAGTTTGAATTATTTCAAGAGAGTACTTATAATTAAATAGACTTGATTAATGATAACAATCGGAAAGTAGACATTAGAGGTTATTGCATTGTTTTCACCAATTAACCCTTTAAGTCCCAATAGTGACCAACATCAATTTTCTCCTAACAATATCCATACAATGTCGAGCGATAAGGTTATGAGAATTAATTAAATGATCACCAAAGAGAAAATGCTTTGATCTTTTCTCAAATTCTCTCATCTTATTCTTTAAAGAAATGTGTAGAGATCAGTTTGGAGAATTTGCTTGTGGATATTGGGGCTTAAAGGGTTGAGACATGTATCAGTTTCTTCATCTTCTTATTCCTTTTGTAGCGTTTTTTTTTTAACTCCACTTTTGTGTGGCATTACAAAACCATTCAAAAGTAACTTGTTCCTTACAGTTACCTTGTAGCATTAAGTCTTCAAGAAGAGCAGGATGAAACCACCAGAGGACCTCAAACACATGTATACCCTGGAGGTCCAGATGTCCCTCAGCCCCTACCTAACCAGGCACCTACCCAGCAGAGTGCCCAGACTAATCAAGAATGGTCTGAGTAAGTAAACAAAGTTGTTAGCTTTAAATTTTGAACTTTTGTGTACAGTCAGTAAATTTTAGGAGTTGAGGTTTGTTGAAGTTTGTTACTTGTTCAAAAAAATCCTTGCCAAATGTGGGAGGGCTCTACCACTGTAAAGTGCAGTGGATGATGGCTAAGCCACACCCATTGCAAACTTTCCAAGTAAGTGTAACTTGAAGCGTTTAGCGACAGCTTCATGTGAAAAGTATATTGAATCATACCACCTACACCCAGCTATTACTATTTTATTGTTCAGCCTTCAGTTAGCAATTCAGCTTCAGCAAGAAGAGGAAAGACAACAACAGCAACAACAAAGACGACCTCAACAGGTTCGCCCGTCTCCCACAAGATCAAGTAATACTGCTTCACAAGCTCAGGTACAACAGAGGAACAGTCAGCAGAGGACAGAATCCAGTGTAAGTTAATTGATTTAAAAGGCCATAAAATAATGAAATATTATTATTGTAAGGCAGAATCCATGAGCTGGCAAGATCAAGCAGATCCTGTCTTCTGATTAGCTACCCTCGCCCGCTCTGAATTTCCTGCAATAGTCCCGTAAGAAAAATTCTCTTTTTGGCCATATAATAAATCCCTTATTTATAAGTTATTAGTTATTGAGCTTGTTCGATCAAGACGGCTGGATATTGGCGTCATTCTATTTTGCATTTTTGTTGACCTAGAGTTTGTCTCATTCCATAAAAACCCAAAAAATTTGGCCAATATCTAGCTATCTTGATCTCACACTTGCTAGATTGCTTCTGCATATTTTGTAATATGACTCAGATCGCACTTTCAAAGTTCTGCACCAAAAGTGACCTTCCGTTTTCCTTCAGTGTCTCATACGTGTCAGGTTTTCTTGCAACAAGGCCCCAATTCAAAGACTCTTCTCAGACTATAAACATAAATTTTCTCCTAACAGAGAGGAAAGGTTATGAGAATTGATCCCCAGAAGGAAAATCCCTCGATGATTTGCCAAAATCTCTCGCCTGATTCTTTAAGGAAGAGTTGGATATCATTCAGAAGAATGTATATGTGGATCTCACTTTTCCTCCCCCGCTGGCCGCCAAAATTTTCCCTGAACTCCCGCAAGTTAGCCTGCTCATAGGTTAAACTTCTTTGGTAAGCCTGTGCAATACATGTGTATTTCGGGATAAAAGGGAGAGGGGAGGTGGAAGCACATTTTGTCTCTCCTCCACCCCGTCATACCCTATCCACCACCCACTGGGCTCTGGGCCCTGGTCCCATATTACTCCTGCAACAAAAGCTACTTTTAAGAGCCTTGAGTGGTACTCTATGCTGAGGGCTTGGATTTGTCTTGTGGTATTTCTTGAAGCGATAAATGCGATTCTAACACAACCTTCGCTTGTTTTTGTTTTTCAGTGTATCATCCTGTAGCTTAACTCGCAAAGATGCGCTGATATCCTTACTTCAACAGTTGTTGAAAGCCATTCATCTCTAGCTGAAGAGACGTCTTAAGACCTTAATTGAATAAGAACAATAGCTTTTACCATTATGAAAACCGCGTAGCGGGAGTCCGATCTGTTTAATCACGAGCATGATTACCACCTGAATTAAAAGACACGAAGTTCTTTACCAATTAGTGATTACTAAAAAAACGCGCACTGTCTTATTCCTTAGGCATGACTCACCCCGTGTAAGGTAATCCAGATTCCAGAATCCGGGAAATTTTTGCTTGGTGGAATCGGAAATCGGGAATCGGGAATCCGCTAAAGATTGAAATCCAGAATCCAAGTTACACTTCCAAGCAATCCGGAACGAATCCGCAGCATGGAATCCAGGATCCAAGACTCTGTTGGATTACCTTACATGGGACGACATGACGCGTGCTGTCCAACTAAATTAATGCCATAAAATTCCGAAAATAAGCCGCGGGGCTAATATTTTTCAAAGGCCCTTTTTGAGGGGCTTATTTTTGGAGGGGCTTATATTCGGAGGGGCTTATGTACGGAGGAAGTTTGCGTTTAAAAATCGATTGGGCTATAGCTTATAGTTGGAAGGAAATTTACCGTTTTTGCTTTTTTTACTTTATATTTGAGGGCAACTTCCAAGTACAAGCCCCCGCGGGGGCTCATACTCGGAGGGGCGATTTAACGGAGGGTTTTTTTGCGGTACAGGTTCGGGGGGGGGGCTTATATTTGGAGGGGCTTATACATGGAGAGGCTTATTTTCGGAAGTTTACGGTATTCAATAAATGCTGGGATCAGGGCTTCTGATGGCCATTCAGATTAATGAATTTTGTTGTGTTAACGTTTTCTCGATTAACAACTACAGTGGAACCCCGATAATTTGGTCACCAATGGGTAAAAAAAATTAGCCGTATTAACGAGTGACCGCATTAACAAGGGCTTTTTTACAAAAAAAAGGTTGGGCCGTTTTGCCAGGCGGCCAAAATAAAGTGGCCGTAATAACGAGGTGGCCATAAGGCGGGGTTTTACTGTACTGCCGTAATGAATAGTAGGTAGATCAAACAAACGTATGACAAATCAACTTAACTTAGGTCGTGCATACAGCCTGGCAAGTAGTAATTATAGTTACATACATAATGTATAAGTGCCAGATTATTTCGCACCAGATCATGGGGGAAAAACTGCTTTGCTTTTATTGTGAACTCTTACTCAGAGCGAAATTAACAGTGTATATGCTACAGGTCAAAATTATATTCAGGCTAAAATTTTTTAACCTAGTTTGATTCTCAATTTGGCTTTGTCTTTCCTAGCCCCAATTATTTATGAATTATAGAATGACTGGATGTGATGTAGACAATTCCTCTCTAGTTTTAGTCAAGAGATCTCATGCTTTGGTCAAATTATTCATTATCAAAAAAAAGAAGTAGAAAGAAATCAGCCCGCTTTACAAATTTGATAGTTCTATTGGATGTCAATTTATGGCTGCTTAATTGTGGGTGTTTGTTGGTTAATATCCCGTCCACAGACTTTTTTTCTTTCCTTTTTTCCGACGAATTTTAATTTAGCGGTCATTAATTCCCCCTCGATTTTTATTTTCATACCCGCTCTCTACGATCTCCAAAGAGAAAAAAGAGTGTATGTTAACATGCTAAGTTTTAAGTTCATTATGGTCATAGGAGCGAATTAAGTTGTGTAATCTTTATTTAGGGATGTAAAATTTTGTAATTATTTCAGTGAATCTTGCTGATCAGGGTTGGAAATGACACTTATTTACTAAGAAAAATTTCAGTGAAGGGGGTAATTAAACTTAGAGCACACATGCTTGTGAAATTACAATTCTGAATCTTGCGTTTCGTTGTGCGTTGTTTATCTCCAAATTGTTGAGGTGATTTAAACCAGAACACGCCTTTTTTCTGGTTTCTTACGGGCCGGTCATCAGCTGAACTCCTCAATGGTCCTGGCCCCGTTTGTGGAAAAGTGAATCACGCTACTCACAGTCAAATCTCTAAAGATATCTTCGCTGAGTAACGAGATTATTATCCAGCTTTTGAATAACTAGGGGACTTGAATTTTGTTCTGACTTTTCCCTTATAATAGACCTTTTTAGCTTGTATGTTTTGTTTTCCCATTGCAGACCACGTGATGGTATCCCATAGAACTCTGTTTCTTTCAGTAGACCTGCACCGTTCTAAACCTCTTATTTTATTGGTGCCCTTTAATTTGCACTTCCATTGTTTTCAGGGATAGTGGCATTGTTATGTGACAATCCCTATTGTTTTCCCAGCTAATCATAAACAATCTTTCAGTTAGGTGCGGGATCGCGCGTTTCTATTAAGCATCGTTAGATGCACTTGCATCGACGTGAGTATGTATGCATAATTCATGAAAAGACAAAAGGCACATTGCCTTGGGAACATCACGTGGTCTGAATTGGGAAAACAAATCGTACAAGCTAAAAAAGGTCTATCATAAAGTGATTGCTGGTCCTGGACTGTTTATTTACAATCTCAAGTACCAAGTAAAAATATATCGCCGTACGCTCTTGTTGATTCGCAAAATGTACATGTGGAAATGAAGATCGTGCCTCTTTGCCGTCATTTCACACGACAGTCAGCAACTTTGCAAATAATATTGGAACAAAAGAAAGTTTCTGCAAAAGAATAAGGTTTAACTCCGGCTCAAGACGGGTTTGGATGTACACCGGTTCACCAATATGGCGGGCGTGACGTCATGTGAATACGCTCCACATATTCTCCCGCGTTTGCCTAGCTTGGCTCATAAAGTGCCTGTTATGCATCTCCCATAATACACCTTGCTTGCCTCCAAAAATTTTGCATAAGTATTGTCTTCAATTTCTCTTGGCACGACGGTAAAATGGTAAAACCCAAAAGTTATATAAAAGTTTGAAGGCTGTTCCAGCTTCGAACATTTCGCGCGCAACTTTACAAAAACATTTAGAATAACTGGCTCGCAGTGCAAAACAGGCACCGTGACTCCAAATTTCAGTGTCAATTGGCCGTCAAATGGGCCAAGTTTGAAAAAATCTGAATGAAATTACCTTAAGGTCTTTAATAGCTTGGGAACGCACTGAAATAAAGCCAAGAAGTTTGGAAGTACACCAACGAAAATCATCAAATGAATACAGAAATTATATTAGTTGTCTCGGATCAGTTTGGAAATGCTCAGATTCACTGAAGGTTACGTAACTGTACGAATAGGTTTCTAAACCTGACGTTTAGAATCGGTGACCAGGTGTGCTAACCCATTACAGAAAAACCCGGTTGGTGCCTAGCGTCCAAAGCATCACGTTAAGTGATTTACCACTTTACGCAGAATAGTCTCTTCCGTTGTCTGAATAAAGTAGGTAGTGTGCAATTGGTGTGTCTGGGCCCAAAAATATAGTAAATGGTTGGCAATATCCCGTTTAGTTTCTACCAACCGGAATGAATTGACTACCTCAAAACGAAGTCCTCAATGGCAGGACAATGTTCCTTAATCAGTTCATCACAGGTTCCTTATGACAAATTTCTTCAGAGCTTGATAAAGGACTTCCCTCAATCATTTCGTGGACAAAACCTTTGTTGGGCTGCTCAATCACTTCAGCATCAGAAAACAGCGACTCCCTATTGTTCCTTTCTAAAGAATTTCTCTTTGAAACCACCGAAGATCTCCTCCCTTTTCTGGATTGAAACATTTGGCAAAAGAGTATTGCTGATACATACACCAAGCGACCAATCTGAGAAACGATGGCAAAAATGACTGCGATTATTAGTACCACCGGTATAACCAGTAATATTGATACTTGGATCCAGTTTAACGCGTCAATGTACGTTTTAATTGGACCCCGGTGACGAACCCCTGATGTTATGAAGGTAGCCTGTACAGTGTTAAACAGGCCAAAGATCACAAGAGTTATTAGCGATACTGTTTCTAATTTGTTGGCTTTGCTGTCCTTGTAAGGATTCCACAGGATATGATGAAGGGCCACAAAGAGACAA